CTTGTAGGGACCTGCTGGACCAGCGGCTGACACCGAATCCCCCGCTTGGTTGCGAGGCCACCTGGCCTGCCTCGCAGTGTCCGATGATTAGCAGGTCCTTATTTATAAAGTTCAAGCTGTTTTCCTCCCACCCCCGGTCAGCTTACTTTATTTTCGTCCGCATATCCACGGGTATAAATGTTTACTTAGGGTGGAATAATATTTATGGTTTATCTAGAAAACAAATCGGGCCCCGGGCAAGGACGACTCGAGAAGGCACGTCCCCCGGCCCTTGTCCAGCAGGTGCGCTCCAGCCCGCCTATTCCTAACGAGAGAGGGCAGATTTTGCAGCTGAGCGGAAAGGCATCTTCCTTCCCTTCCTTAGGGCACATGCTTCATATTTTGTTGCGAATAAAGGGTTTTCTATTCCCGCGGCCTCCTCAAAAAAGGAACGGAATGATCCTCCGTTCTTTGATCTGCTCCTGATCTCCCTTTTATTTTACAGAACGGAAACATAAACCTCTCCTAAATTTGTTGTCATATCCATGGATTCTAACGGTTCGACACTGAACCCTGATTTCCCAGGCCGATCCTGATTTAAAAGATGCCACGGATCTTTGCCTGCAAGGCTGATAAATAACATGAACAAGGAAGTTCCCCCTATTAGGCCCAGAAGACTTAATTAGGTTAAACTCGTTTCGTACATCAAAGCATTTTTCACCACCGTTCAATTAGGAATACGCAGTTAGGTTCTCTCCTAATTTTGCGGAGTGGCAGGCTGTCAACAGTGGCATGTCAGTTAGTAACTGACCATTGGTATCAAATTCTGCGTCTTGTGACTTTGATTGCAGTTCAAAAGAAATGAATTACAAGCTTTCTTGAACTTCATTCCAGAGACTAAAGTTAGATGCTATTGAAACAGAAGAAAAACATATCTAATCTGAAGATAAACAGAATCCTGACACGTTCCACACTTCTTTGAACATGGGGGAAAATGTAATTAATATAAAAAAGAAACCCAGGTGGAAAATTCATGTTTTTAACTTATTAAATATAATTAAAATGGATGTGAGATTTGTCTTTCTGATTCGGTATTCAGTGTAATTTCGTCTTTCTTTCTTTCTTTCTTTCTTTCTTTCTTTCTTTCTTTCTTTCTTTCTTTCTT